TAAATCCTAAATTTTGCTTGTGTGTTTTTGCATGTACTTTTGCCCTTGGTTAGTAGGCTAGTAGTTTTTTTTGTGTGTGTCCAATGTTTCCCGATGCCGGTCATCCACCCACCCAGCTATTACCGTATCCCCTCATCATCTCGTCATGTGATATTCCGAATCCAGTCATGTTCCGCCTCTGACAAACAGCCTAGTTGATAATTCTCTTTTTGACACCGGTGCTTTTGGTATAATTTTTCACTTGGGCTTGTGACGTTGAGTTCATAGGTGAGACCGCATTATTGCCTTTCCTCCTCTCAGCGCCATCCATGCACTTCATTCTAATATGCCTCTCGACTTATCTGATGCCTTTTCAGCTACCCATCCCGAGTCCTCAATGTATTAACAAAATCCTAGTTTTTTTTTTGTGATGTTTCGTTGTCAGATTACGATTTTTTGCGCTTGTTTTTGTGTGGTTTTGATGTTTTTCCAATAAACTTTTTCACGGCGCGTCGAATAGATGTTTTCTGATCAATAAATTAAGGGAAAGGTTTAGGTTCTTTCGCATTATCGGAAAGACCAAATTTTGCTAAGGACCTGATTTTTCTAATAAAAATATAGAACGTATTTCTACACTTTTTTACTCTTCATAAAGTAAAACCATCGATTTTCGACGAAGATTTCACCAAACTTTTTCTTAGCTTCTTTTATTGTTTTTTCGCTTAAAATATAGTTAATTTTACTCGAAACACTATTATAAAACTATCTGTTATGTTGCTAGACATTTCTCGACTTATAGGAAAAAGGAAAGAAAAAGGATCCTAATCTGAAAATAGCCTCCAGTCTACTTTTAAGATTGAAAACAAGTCTTGACAAAGGCCGGCCCGCCGGAAACAGCCCCCCTCGACTGGTGGCTGGAGTAAGGATGGGTTACGAGTCTCCGTGTCGCCCCTCGGGCGGTCGCGAGGAGCCCCACCCGGAGCGTCAGGTGGCACCTTTGGACTCTCGGGAACGGAACGAGGCCGTTCACAGCTAAGCCTTTGCCTCGTCGGCTTTAGACCCCCCCCACTTTTCCAAGCACACATTCACTCAACCCGACCCTGCAACCTGCCCGACCCGCCCGGAGGCAAAAACTTTGTTGCGCTCCTGCCTGCCAGGCAGGCCAACAGCGCTACTTTTACGACGCCGTTGTCGGGTTCCAGTTGTTTTTGGTCGAGGCACTGGAATGGCCTATTAGAACATTATAGCTGCCGCTATGTGGTCTCACAGCTTTGATGTGATTTTTGGCTAGCATAAGTAACAAGTGAATTTCGAAATGTGACCTAACCTATCTTGTACAGAATTTTTGCTGATTCCAAATCTGTTTTCCATCTTTGCCAATTAGCCGATTTAAAAGCCACGGCGACTTTAAGATCATTTTTGGCCAAATTTTCCGAACTGCGAGGCCCATTATTTTGCATCCGGGTTGATTTTCTGAAAATGTTGTTCTCATAACTTTTTTTTTCTCTAACAAATGAGCCCTTTAGCACATAATTGTCGTAAAATGAACAAAATTGACGATGGGAACTCGGATTTTTGTAAGCGGAATGGTGAAAAATAGGCTATTTCACTCTATCAGATAAGCTGCTTAAAATAGGTTAGAGCAATAAAACAACAACAACAACAAAATCCAGCATCAGTGCAGATGATTTCACCTGCGCCTAAAAATGCCTGGCCTTCTAACTTTTAAATCTGGCTATTTGGTAAAAATTTTAACAAATTTTTGCACCAGCAAAAAATTCTGCACAAGGTGAGTTAGGTCCCATTTCAAAACGTCACCCAAAACAGGCGATCGTTCTAAGTTCCCATTCACATCTTCCGCGCGTACGAACGGGTTGCACACCGCCTACAATCGCTAAACCCCCCCCAAACCAAACACCCAAAAAAAAAAAAAAAAACCAAAAAAAAAAAAAAAAAAAAAAAAATACAAAAAAAAAACAAAAAAAAAAAAAAAAAAAAAAAAATAAAAAAAAACAAAATTTTAAAAAAACACCCCCAAAAACCCCCAATTCCCCCCCAACCCCCCCCCCCCCCCTCCCCAGGGTTCGGGGGGTCCCCGGGGGAAAGAGGCGGAACCCCGGGGGAAATAGAAAGGTTTCCAATTTTTATTTTTTTTTTCCTTTCTTTAAAAAAACCCCCCTTCCCAAAAAAACCCAAATTATCTTTTTTAAAAATTAAAAAAAAACCAAAAAAAACAAAAAAAAAAAAAAAAAAAAAAAAATAAAATAATATATATAAATTTTTTCCCCCTCCAAAAAATTTTAATAAAAAAATAAAAAATATTTAAAAAATTTAATAACAACTTATAAACTTTCAAAAATACAAATTAAAATATAAATTATATTATAATTTTATTCTCCCCAAAATTATCTACTCTATTTTCAATTTTTTTAAATAATTTAATATTTTTTTTTTTTTGGGGAGTTTTTTTTTTGGTAAATTTTTTAATAATAAAATATATTTAAATAAAAAATAAAATAAAAATAAAAAAAAAAAAAAAAAAAAAAAAAAAAAATAAAAAAAAAGGGAAAATTTCCCACAACAAAACAAAAAACCCCAACCCCCAAAACCCCCCAAAACCCCCACCACCCCGGGGGGGGAAAGGAAGAAAAAATATAAAAAAAAAAAAAAAAAAAAAAAAAAAAAAAAAAAAAAATTTTAAATATTTTTTTTATATTTTTGTTTTTTTTTTTATTTTTAAACATTTGTTTTTTTTCTTCGAGACCTTTCATTTTTAAAATTTTTTTAAAAAATTATTTTTCCTTCACAAAAAAAACACTTTTAGTGCCTAGCGAGTGCTGAGTAGCATGTTTTTGGCCAGTCTACCGCGTGGAAACGCATGGATTTTCGGGGGGCTAGAAGCGCTTTGTTCGCACATGTGTCGACGGAAAATTAGGGGCAGCTTGAGGCGGTGAAGAATGGAATCGGCTGTGACGGCAGACTGGCCGACTGGCCCGGTAATCATCTTCTCATTTTTCTGCCTCTCTGTCGAGGCCAGGCTGCTCATTACGGTAATTGGTTGTAGTGATGTTAGGATGGTGGGGTAGAGAGATGTCTTGGATGATAGCGGGTCCATAGGTAGCAATTTTACTAATGTTTTTTTTTGTTTTGTAAGGGTTGAGTGAATGTGTGTTTTTACGAGGAAACTTATTTGAGTGGCCGCGGAGTTTCGAAATGGGACCGAGCCTATCTTGTGCCGAATTTTTTGCTGATTAAAATGTACAGAATCTTCCAAACGACCATAATAGTAATGTTATGAAGCTTTAAAGTGTGAAAAAGCTTTGTAAGGTTCTTCTTGTGGTCGGTTCGTAAATTACATTTTTAAAAACGGCTCACTTTTCAAACACCTTCCTCAGACTTTGTGGTTTCGAGAGAAGAAGCCGATCCGGTGGGATGAGAGCCCGGTTGGGTACACATCGTTATGAGTGTCCTGGCTCACTCGGCTTCTTTCCCCTGCTGAATCTATCTGCCTTCGCTTTTGCGTGTCGCCCACGAATTTTCACCGTTTTCAGCACGTCATTGCAAAAATGGACGGTGAAAAAGTTGGCGGATCATGTATTCAGGGCGCATACGGGCTGACAGTCACTTTTGCAACATTCTTCCCCCAGCAGAATCTATTATACCTATTACAAACCGGGATTTTATGTATTTTTCTGGGTACTTTCGCATTACCGGGGGGGGGACTTTTTCCCTATCAGTCCAGAAGTGCCTCGTAACATCTTAGGATTTTTAAAGACCCCCAGAACGATGAAATTCCGTTGAGACCACCCCGGCGAAGAAAGTCGCGCACCGGGCGGGGTCGAACCCGCGATGGTTCGATCCACAGTCCGACGCGCTAGCCACTATACCACAGGGCCAAGCGGGGAAGGGGTCGGAGGCGCCCCCAAATGGCGTACTGTACGGGTTTTTGCCTGGGGCGCGAAATAGCAGCATGATTTTAGCTGCGCAGGCCTGCTTTCGTAATGGCGCGACGCGTCTATCGCACGCGTTGCGGTCTTTCTGGGTTTCCAATTCTACCGGACGTTTTATTAGGCGCCGGGCCGCTGTGCAGAGGGCCTCTGCCCAATACGGGGCACCACTAATGACGCCTCTCTCCGCGCGTTCTTGGGCCACAGTGTGCGTCCAGGTCATCTCTTTAATAGGGTTTTGGTAAAATTTAACTGGTTTTTGGTGGAAAAATCGATATTTTTTTGTATTGGTAAGTAAAATTTGTAACGTGTTGCGATTCGAAATAGTAAAAACAATTTAGAAAACACTGCCTCTATTCATATTAGAGAAAATGTATCCTTGGAAAAAAAGTTGGTCTCCCCTCTGATACCCCCCCCCCCCGATAATGCGAAAGAACTATTTTCTGGTCTAGTTTCATGAATCCAGCAGCCAAAATCGAAATTTTCGTACGGCTTCATTCCTCCTTTTCCCCCACTCCAAAACAAAGCCCGTCCATCCCATTAATGGGTACCCCTCGCCGGTTTGCGTAGCCCATTTCAACTTTTTTGTTCGCATCAATTGTATCTGCGGCTGCACAAATATTGGCTGCTGTGCGGGTGAGGGGAGGGGGCGGAAAACAATATGCACACACGGGGGGAGACGCGTGTGTGGAGTAGTGAGGGTTTTATGGGCCGATGGGCAACTGGTTCCCCCCTTGCACCTACTACTACAATTGCTACTAGCGAGCTCTTAGTCGAGACCGCACTTTATGGCTTTTACCCCGCTTCGTTTGGATGTTTTAGGGGGTTTGGGAGATTTTTGAGGAGGTCATCCTGGTAGCCAGTGAATGACACGGTAGCCGTGTTTGGGCGCAGGCTCGGTTAGGGCTACGTGTACACCTAGTTACACAGAAGTTTTAACAAGCGGCTTTTGCCTAACTGCAAACCTCGCTCTCTCGCTCTCTCTCTCTCTCTCTCTCTCTCTCTCTGTCGTTCTCTCTCTCATTTTCTCTCTCCTTATCCCTCGGTCTACGTATGCGCAGACCTTTTTTCCGC